CATGCATTTTCGCACTATTGATCGTCCATCTTGCACCATCCTTGCAATCACTGTTGAATGATGCTTCTTCAACAAGTCAACCATGGCCCTTGATAAATTGAATGTTCAAACTCCGGTCCTCGCTCGATCGAGCTGGTAAGAATAATGGAGTTTAATATGACGACTGTTTCATGTCGAGGGTAACATTTACTATTGATCGGAGACTCAATCTGTACGTTTTGTACTTTGTTTACCAGCCTATTCAAGGGACTTCCTCTGTACATGTCTCCAATATGATTTTGGTAATTGAAAGTTTGCACAAAACGAGTGAAAAGAATATGGCCAATGACCCAATGAAATGTATCTACGTTCCCCTTTCTTGTGTGCGCGTGGAACGTCAAATAGATATGGATGCGAGTAATTCTTGTTGTTCAATATCCGAAACATCCAATGCATCATGCATGAGAATTTCTCTCAACAAATAATTATCTACAGAATGTAAAGAAAAACGTAAGCCTTCCCCTTGAGATGGTCTTTTTCGTGTTATCACTGTACTGTAATCCGGAGAGCCACGGTTTCGTGTTACTAACATCCGGGGTACCACGCGCGCCTTGACTAGGGCGAGTGCGCGAAAACCCGAGACGATGGTGCCTGTACTGCAAATATATACCTGTATTCAGTTCCAAACGTTGATACTTAAGAGGTGATATCCCGATGGATTGTAAAAGTATTGGAGGGATTCCTCTTCCTCTGATATCGATGGTCAAGTTGTTAATTTTGTTTGTAAAACAGTTGAATTTTAATCATCACTTAATCACTATGATCTATGATAGCTAAGCGCACGCCTTGGGGGGGGGGGTCCGTAAGAATGTGACAAACATATAAACAATTTAAGTGGCTCATTGATGAGAGTTATTTTCAAGAAGACTGAGATGTCCACCCCTTTCGCCTCTCTTATTTCAGCTTTTAGTTTTCTTTTCCATGAAAAAAGTCTGTTAAAGTTGATCTTGAAAGCCTTGATTGCAACCTCGTCTGCATCATTCCCTCCAGGCTTGTTCAGCTTACATGTAAAGCGACAGAGTCGGATATGGCTTTGTGGCCAAGTGCATCAATAATGCTATTATGCCAATAATGCTATTATGCATCCGGTATAAAAGATTCATAACATTTAACAAGAAATATGCTGACAAATAAATTGATGCCGGCTGTGCACTCTATACAGGAGAGAAAAGAATAGTATCAAAACTTCAAATCCTAGGTGCGCTAGTGCCTGTATATGTATATGCATCTGAAGCATGGAAGACCCAATGGAAACACACATGAGCCTAGTATTTCGGTCACGTGGGGTTACGTTTGGTTTGTTTACGTTTTGCAATGCGTAGCACGATTCCTAGCGGAGATGTCACATGACATTTAGCAGCAGCTAAAGCTTTGTGATAACGAGAGGTCCTCCAAGCTTTAGTGACATGTATTGAAACCCTTTGGACTTTTAACATCGGCAATATATAGGCCAACGCCGTTTTACGTACACTACAGCCGCCCAGCCTGGGTTGAACTCAACCCTGGGTGGACCCAGTTCAATCAATCCGGTTTTGTTTCAGACTTGTTTCTTGTGAACCGAGTCTACAATTAATATTACTGGGGTGAGCTCAACCCGGAAATGGGCACCAAAGTTTTTCAAACTGGGTTGGAAATTCTCAACCCTGGTCCGGAGCAGGGTTGAATTCATCCCCGGTTGAAGTCTGTCGATCTCAGGATTAATACAGATACTTGAATACTTTTCAAGTGTGAATCCTTACCAGTTTTTAAACTTGCGTCAAACCCTGACATTTGTCTAGTGTGAAAAAGCCTTATGTCGCATTTCCGCCCCACGTAAAATTCCAACTGTGCGCGCAGCACTGTAGTTCTTTTTCAAGCACAAATTAACACCACTAAAGCAAAAATCCGTAGATTACGGGGTTAAAAAAAGAAAAGTTGGCCAGACTGGTATTATTGCATGCATAAGTCCCAGATATAAATCCCACCAATACATGCTCCAAGCAAGATAGGATCCAGGTACCGTAAGACCCATAGGCTCGGTCAGGGGCCTACTTAAGAAAACGTTATGGAAATTTTCAAGGCACTAGAACCTTCATTAACTTTCAAGTTTGCTAAATTGCATGCCAATAATGAACGAAGAATAGTAGGCTACAAAGTGAATGGCTAATATTGTTCACCATTGGCCAAAGCAATTGCCTGAAAGTAAAAGGTCACGCAGTGAGCTTGCGGAAACTATGCGCGGTCCGCTTGTGAGGATTATACATGGGGCCGTCCTTTCACGTTCTACAATTTTGGGAAGAATGATTTTTAACTACAACACCCCAAGAAACACTCATCTCGGAATTTTCCCTCAAGTTATATTTTGAAGAAGTCACCTGCTGGAAATACGTAATAAACGAATTTCATGAACGACCTTTCACTTGCGGCAATATCGTTCCGCGGTCTCCTCGTTCATGCGTGTTCGTTTAATTGTTCATGCGTGTCCGTTTAATTCATCCCCGAAAAACGACATTGTAGAACGTTGCATAAACTTACCTACCCGAAGTCGTTGGGTTCTAGATTCAGTCTAGTTGACCTGACGCAGTTATGGGTGCACCACTACAAATAAATTCCCATAGACAGCAATGATAAATCCCCACACTTTGCAATTATTTTAAAAATACTCACAACTCCCACAGGTGTCCAGGCTGCACAGAAATACGATGATCGACATGTCCCCTTTCATTTCCCTTTCAATTTTCGGGGGGTTGACCAATGAATTTTTGAGAAATTTTCACCAGAAGCAGACCATCCCTAAAAATGAAGAAAATGTCCCTGCCCAGAAAAGTAGCCATTTTGAAAAAACATCCCTCTGCAAAACGGCCAAATAGGCTTAGTGCCATTTCCGGACCCGACTGCATTCAAATTCCTCAGAATTTGAAGCCCAAAGTCCGGGCCAGGGGTTCAGTGCCATATTTCTCCAATTCCTCAATTTCATGGCTCTCTACTATACAATATTTTGAGTGTATAACTATTATTAATGAGCTCGGCGGACATATTTAGGCCTAGGTCCTTTTTGCGTGGGTGCACCCTTATTGTCAGCAAAGATTAAATTAAGCATTAGAACCTATCGTAAAGGGGATCACTGTTTTAAGTTGATTTCTCTATAAATTTAAAACCCTTCAAATATTTGCGTCTATTTTTATTTTGGCTTTTGCCGAAAAAGACCATCAAGTATAAATCCGTAACTGTACGTCTGCGAGCGGGACCACCATATTGGACTTCACGTACTGTACATGTATTTTATATTTTGGGAAGTGATAGGTCGATTTTTGGCAGGATATATCTCTCTTCTAGGTCAATTAATTTTTCAGTTTCTATAATTTGACATGCCAGCAAATATTTTTTACCAAAGACTTTTTTACGAGCCGAATTTAAAGAAGTTAACTGCAGTCTGCATGGCGCGCGGTTCTCGGCACATGCGCAATCATTCACGGTAACCTGAGCGCGTGAAGTTTGCATATGCTTGGAATTATTCGGGTAATTTTTGCCAGATTTACAAGACTAGTTTCTGGCAGTTCGTCTCTTGTGAATTTAGCTCCCTCCTATCCTACTGGTGCTGCTAATCGGTTGTGCTCGCCATCTCGCACGCACGGTGCACCTGCCAAACAGTAAAACCAGTCTTGGGGGGCCTAATTCCAGGCCTTCTTTTAGTACAAAGACAGAAGAGCGTTCGGTGTTGGCTATGAGGTGACGGACGGCGTTCGCTGAATTAGTCACGTAATGTTTGCGATGTCTATGGTTCACGGTGCATTTCCATTATTGATCTTGGCCAAATCAATGTTGGCTATGTGGAAGTTACGCAGACAGGCAGCTCCTACTCAAAACACCGGCGGGCTACAGTAGCCGAAACGGCACCCCTCGGCATGGGTAACTATACGCACAGTTGAAGAATGCCAGTCATAAAATTCCATGAAGTCATTTTTCGATTGTGAAAAAATCCCGTTTACTTAATCTGGCCCATTCGAAACAATGCTGTGGCAACATATGAAAAGAAGAGATAGCAGTACCAAAGAGTAAAAACGGGAACGTTTGTTTAGAGCACATGTAAACAAAATTTGTTTAATAATTTACATGCAATCTAAGTGCGTCACGCACAATTCGCTCTGAACACGCTGCCATTCATCGTTTAATCAACTGCAACTGCTTGCCCACGTTTTTTAAAGAGCAACCCCAACAGTAGAAGAAAATAAGAAACCTGACCGCAGTACGTTTACTTGGATCCCATTATAGACATCTATGCCACATAAACCCAGATTCAGCAATATTTTTGGTTTAAAAAAATCACTTTTGAGACCCGTTTCTGCCGAACGCCGTCATGGCTACGCGTATGTTCACTCCCATGCCCTTGTGCACAGCTTAGTTGAGAGATAACGCATGCGCATTCGATCACTTTACTGTGGATTTCGAGGCAGGCGACGTTGGACATCCTTCCGACACTTCTTTCCGCAGCTGGAGGCTATTCTGAATCTGAATCATGTACATGTAGTCGGCAAAGCCTCCATCAAGAAACATCACACCAGCTTGAGGTTTATTTGGGGCGTGGAGCTAGACATGTCTTCGGTAGCTTATTTTAACAAAATACAAACAAATGAAGTTCACAGAGATAACCAGGTAACTAAAAACTAATCAGAAAACATTAAACCACGGTACGTATGCCTATTTCAATGAATCCAGGTGCATAAAATTTGAAACAAATTCTGAAAACAGGTGGAAAGGCTTGCGGTAGCACCATGCGAAGGAATATATCTCTCTTATGAGTATGTGTGGTTGTGGTTTAGAAAAGAACCGGAAGTATGTATGGAGCGTCCAAAGTGGACAACCTCATTTTCTCATTTTCTGTTAGTAGATTTTCGGGATTTTGGACTTTGCCTAAAGAATTTTCAAACTTTCACAGGGGTGGACTGTGAGAAAAGTAACACTGCACCAGCATGACTCCACAATCACAGTTGATACTGATATCTTTCCACAGCTCGTTTCACTTTATTTCCACAACTTTTCTGCCACCCACGTGAAGGGCTTGGGCAGATCACATCACACTTGTGGAGCAAAAACCATGGCTGACGTGTATTCAACCTGATTTATGAACAGTCTGTTGACATGCTAATGTTATGAATGCAAGCAATTTGCATTTTGCGGAAACAAGAGAGGGCGTATTTTTACATTCTGATAATTGTCCTTTGGTAGGAACTCCCCATGTATGCGTGCGGGATGTGCTGGGTACACGCGACCAATTTCTGTTTAAGTATATGGTCACTTAGTGTGTACACGAGTCCGCTTGAGAAACATCCACCAGCCTGTCTCTTATTTGTCGATGACGGTGCACTTCAACTCAAGGTGGAGAAGGTCAAGTGCTCGCTTAGTTTAAATGTACTTGCGAAAACAAGATTGTGATATGCAGTTAGTTATGACAAAAAGTCCATCGAGAGTTTTGTTTTTATTCCGATTTTTTGAAAACCCTAACAACTCCCTACAGGGAACTTTTATACTGAATACTCAAATATACTCCACCGTAAACCAACTGGTGATCTAAGGTGGCACAGGCCCCTTCTTGAACAACAGTGACTGTTCTCTACCTTTCTCACTCCTCCAAACCCCTCCTTGAACCTCCACGGGGATAATGGAAAATCTTGGGGTGTTAGTGTTTAAGAGTCCATGCCAAGTAAATTTTGATATGAGATTTTTGAAAAATCCCTCTCATATGTCCTACTTGAGGCTTTTCAAAGTTTTGTTTCGCCATTATGAGGGCCATTTTGAAGGAGCATTTCTGGCTTTTGTGCAAATGTGAATTTATATATTCCTGAAGAAATGTTTGATCTCATTTCAAAAAGCTGCCTCAATTTGAGGGTAATTTCAGCACAAACATTTGCCAGAGTTTAATTTTGATGTTTTACCATCTGACATTTTCTTTTTCTCCGGTAATTTGCTGGTGTTTCAGTTCATGACAGTTGGCCAGTAAACAAAGTTGTATACAAAGATATTTTTGGTGAGCACATTTGCACTCGCTATTTGAGCAGAAAAACCCTCATAATAAAGTGACTTCCTGAAATGACTTAACATTAACATGACAACCGTCAGGAAAAGCACAGAAAATGTTACATGTTTAAAAAACTTCACTATTTAAACGTACATTTAAGAGAGTACAGATTAAGAAAAATACGTTGCAGGGACCCTTTGATCAACATTTCCCACGACGGAAGTTCAACAGACCAGTTTTTTTCTTGATCATTCGATGTTAACAGAAACCAAAAATACTATTTTACACAAAAAAAACTTCCAAAAGGATTCTCACTACTGAATGAAAACAGAAAGTTGGAAAGTTGGAACCCCAGCTCTTACAGAAGTCCCTGTCTCTTGAGATCCTCAAAGACTTTCTTGTTGACGACGTTACCGCTTGAATCTTCAAACTCCTCCTAAATGAACGGAAATGAGGAGATTAACAGTGAGTTGACTGGTTCTACTTTGAACTTTTATTTCAAAATGCTCCACAACTTTCACAACAAAAAAAATTTGGAAATTTTTACAGCAATTTCAATCTGATTTCAGAAATCACTCTCAAATAATTTGTCCCTGAAAAACATTGCTGGGTCTACGAGTGGGGATTTTGGACGGGCCTCTGTTGAGCATTGGTGGGGGTTCTTGTCATCTGTCTCCTGAAAGTATGGCAGGACTGGGCTCTAAACTTGCAAACTCTGAACATTTGGCCATGTTCTTGTTCACAACCAAAGAGGAATTGTGAACAATGACACGAGACTAATTGACCAATGGGCCTACATGTACCTCAGTGTCTGGACGCCATCGCTCAGATGACTTGGCTTCTTTCAATTTCTCCCACACTGTAGGGCAACAGAGAAAATCAGGAGTCAGAGAATACATCAAAAATTTCAGAGCTGCTTGTGTTAAAAACAATGCGTTATCTCTTCGCGCAAAATGCTGCCTGAAATTCTTGGAGCGTCATCCTTTACACTGTTGTCTAACTTTACAGTTCTCAGAAGAAAAGAAAGGTTTTAAGGTGTGAAAATCAATGATAAATATCCACCAAGAATTAATTTAAAGTCAAAAAGTTTCTTGTTATTTTATTTGTTTGAAACAAGTGTTTCCAGGCTGAAATGTGAGTATGAGTTCATGTCTAGGCCCATGCCTCAAAACGTTTCACCAATGTATGGTCCCCCTGTGGAACTTACAGGAGAGCGCATCTTCAATCAGCGTCACATTCGCGAAGTGAGCCGTGTTAGGAATGCCCAGGCAACGCATTCCGTGAGCATGGCGCCATTCCTGGAAATGGGAAAGTAACAGCAGTCAAATTTTCCACACGAGAGCGCTATTTTCAAACCTTAGAAAACCTTAATTTGAAGTTGCTGTGTCATGGTCAAGTGTTTTTTCCCTTGAAAGTCTTCAGTAAACAGATGCATAGCATAACAAATCAAGCTTGAGCTGACTGGCCGTGACTGTACAACTTCACAACGCCGTGCCTGAACTGTCGATGATTGAAAAGCCATCTTTACCTACCACTCGCCTGCTTCTGTCTGTTGACTGAATGTGACTTATCACAGTGCTGACCACAGTTATGATCAACTGAAGTCAATTGAATGTTTGATTGTCTGTGATTGTTACAACAAAAAGAGGTTAAACTATGAAGATTTTGCTCTAAGTACATCCTGCAGTCAAAGAATTCCAAGCGTCCACTCACAGCAAAGTGTCTCTGGAATGCCTTGGGGCCTCGGTAGGTCTGGTTACCACAGATCTCACAGGAGTACGTGATGTTTAGACCATGCAACTTGTACAACCAGTATGGAATGGGCTGCAGGATGTAATAGACAAATGAGGCTAGTCTGGTACTGTCTGCTGATGAGTGCACGGCAAATGTGACAAATCGAAAGGTCTATTTGAGGCAAAGCCAAATGAAATTATTCTTTCCACTGCACAGATACATGTGAAAATTGATTTCACACTATGCCTGAAAAAGCTGTTAAAAAATGGCATTATAAAAAGGACAGTGGAATGTGCTACAGAGTGGGAAAAGTACAAAACACCGCACAAAAACTTTGGCAACCATGGACTCTTCATGCAGTGCCAAAGTCACATACTTCTCACCAACTGTGCAGCATTATAGCTTAACATTGTAAATACTGGCCTTTGGCGACAATGGCATCTGGGAAATGGAACATGAAGTACACATGTATACCAGAGCCTACAGTTTGAGATTGTTGGCCTACCTTGCCGTCCCATCCGAGGGGGAGGTTCTTGGGATTGTAGATGACCTCGTTGTCGTCGTCATCACTGTCGCTGTCACTGTACTGTTCCTCTTCGTCATCTTCGCGCTCGGCGTCCGTGCGTGCCTGCTTGCGCTGGATGTTCTCGCGTGTTGCCAACCGTTGCTCCTGACAACATAGATTCAGTTGGGCATTAGCATGCATACACGTAGCTCCACTCATGGGTGAACTTGCCACCATATTAAACATTTTTAAACAAGTACTGAGTTAACTGTGCTTGGTTTATGCAATTTGGAATTGACAGAAAAGTTGTAAACAAGATTACCATGATCCCTCATTCGTATTCATAATCAAGAGCCCAACTACCAGTGGTCCATTCACTACCACGTGCAAGCTGCTATTTTGGCAGTTCAGCAGGCACAAGCAAGAGGCTCCCCACACAGGTCAAACACTCCTGTATACTGTTCTGTCGCCCAGCTCCCTTGCGCGACAGTTCACTGTGCATGTGCTTTATAGAGAAATCCCTCAATGATCACGCTGCATTGGACATGTTGGGAGGCATATGTGAATGTCGCCCTAACATATGGTGATGCCATATGTATCAGGTCTGGCAAAACAAATATGACATACCTGATTCCAGGTTGATTGTCAATGTCAGTTCTCTACAGAGCTAGACGTTGATAAACTGGTTTCTTCAGCTTCACCTTTGGAACAAGTTTGTCAACTTGCAGTGTATAGGAGAGTTAATATCAACCCTCCATCCTGGAAACATGTAATAATTCTCTCCCTGGGCCAACTCACCCCAAGCAGCTCGGCAAAGAAGTAGACCTGTGCCTCTAGGAATGCTATATCCTTCTGCTTGCCGCTGTTATCTCTGTAATGGATGCCAAACAGGAAATGAAAAGGTGAGTATGAAAATGGAAAAAGGCAACAAATCAGGGAACACTAAACAGGTCTGAAACTTGTCTGCACATGTTCTCTATAGGAGACAGTTTATAAGGGATCTGTGGGAAGCAATGAAAAATGTGTATTTTCAAACAAACTTGCTCGCTGATGAGGATAAATCCGGGACCAATTTTTCTTAGGGGGACCAAAAACTTCAGTATTTTTTCATGTGTCCTTTTATGGGCTTTTTACAAGCTTCGTCTAGGAAGGGAACTGAAATACACCAAAAATTGCCTTTTTCTCATAAAAAAGGGGGAGGGACATGGCCTCTGTTGCTACCCACATCCACCCTTGCTCCATGGAAGTCAAGGCTCTTGGGCCTATTCCAATTACGAAAATGGATGCGCTGGGTCACACTGAGCAAAAGACAATGGGCAATTGTGACTCTTCCATAAGCCAGCCCTATTTCCCATTAGTCGTAATAGTATCACCCACAGTGTAAGGAACTGTCCATGAAGTATGCACACGTGAGGGTGGGCGGCGACAATGCATACGGGGGGGGGGAGTGACGACACCAACGTTGCATGATAAAATTGCAGTTAACCCCTTCGCTACGGAGGACTGCTACTACCACACCAGTGTGCAGATTAGTGCATACCACACAAACACTCTATTCACCATGCAGCTGCTGGTTCAATGGGGCCTGCTGCTGGACAAAGCCCTCCATTCAGGGCATACCACAGCCCAGCAGTTGCGGTCAAAATAATTCTGCCGTGAAGGGGTTAATAAATTGATGTGGAATTAATTTCCCTACTCATACCAATAATCAAAAATCATTATAGACAGGGTACATGTACCTTCACCCCCATGTGGATCTAACCATGACCAGTGCCATCAGTCTGATAGGCCCAAAGGGCAAAATGGAATGCCCATGCACCCCGGTACAGGAGGAAGAGGTTTGGAGTCCCTGTATATAGCTGGCTTTTTGTACAAGGTTTCCTTGACTATTCCTCTTCCTTTGACGCTAGAAGACCCCAACCCCAAAATGCCTCTAAACTTCTTTTTCAGAGATGACGAAACGTCCTGCGTCCACAGAACGTCTTCCTTTCCTGCATCGTGTGGACATCTGTTCACAAGTTCACACTAGGTATGCAAGGTTAGCGCACTGGGGTGAACAGAACCATACATACTTTTTACCCCCCTTTCCAGTTTTGCTCTTGGCAAACAGCGAGGTGTCCAACTGGTCCATGGGTACTCCTTTGGTGCTGAAGAGACGGTGAGCTCTCTCTTCCAGAGTCCCACCACACTTCAGGCCCAGCGCCATCAAGGCCGATTTCAGACGATCCAGACCCAGCGAGGCCAATTCCTTGATAAGAAAAGGGTAAAGATTGGATGGAAAAGACAAACCTTTCAGATTGAAAGACCTGGTTTGTGATAGTATCAATCTCACTCGAGGTTCTTGATCCCGAGTTATCTACGTACCTCAGAAGAGGAGAAGGCAGACAGATCCAGATGGGCTCCTGCATGTGCCAAGGCACTGGCTGCCTCTTTCTGAAAGAGAAATAGAAAGTAACACACTGGCATCATTAGATTCCAAATGCGGAATCGACATCAGGGGTATGTAGGGCCACGGTGGCTGGTTACATGTAGGTGGTGATGCAGTTTGGGAATTGGGCAGTGGGTTGGTGGTCAGCAGGTGGGGATGACCTCATCCCAATGGGGTCAATCATTCGAACACCTCCAAACTTTGGGTGCTTATGTTAATGAGGAAAAGCCTGGTGCTTGATTGCGGTTTTAAGCAGCATTCACCTTAATATGGTTTCTGGGCGGAAATGCAAATTTCTTGTGGTAACTCTGTGGACTTACCCCCCACCCTGGGAAGGTACCCCCTTCCCACTGCGTCTCAAAATCAGACTTGACTTTGTCCAGTTCCTCCGACATGTCCAGCAAGGGTTTGAGACGGCGTGTATAGCCCTGCAGATAGTCCAGCAAGAGCTCCAGATATCTGCAATAGTGACATTATGCCAAGTAATTGTAAAATATCCACAAATCTTTTGAATAAAAAACAAACCAATGAAAAAGGATTTTCAGGATATTTGGAAGAACTCAAGATAGAGCATACATGTTGACCAACAGACCTACTGGTACTCTCATTATCAGACGTACATGTACCTTCTGTATTCTGCATTTTTGCGGTCTTTCGGGATGCCAAAGAGCTGATCAAAAGTCGCCAGATAGGTCAGGTAATCAATTTTCTGAATTGGAGAAAGAAGAATGAGAAGAAAAGTCTGCCATCATAAAGGTTCTTCATCATTTTAGTCAAAATTTCTGTTATTACCGGTAGCTAAACAAGCTTGTAGGTCCAACAGTTAAGCAACATTAACAGCAACGACCAGCAGCCGATTTCATGAAACTTTAGTACCTGTGTAATACGTTCTATGTACTGTAATTATGATTGATTTTGAGAAAGGTTGCTGAGCTGCACAATGTTTTTATTAACATGCCTTGGACGAGAATAATCACAGTTTTCAAAATATCTGTTCCTTTTAAATATCACAGCCGTCATTAAACTGTCGTTGCTTGTAAATGAACTCAGCAGGCCATTCTGCACATGTAAGTTTTCATCTTTCAGTTGTCGCAACCTGGTAGAAAATCGCCAAGTTCTCTCACATCCAGACAATTTTTGATACCTCCACAAACAAATCTGTACATTTCTCATACAAACCGACTTAAAGTTGCACAATGATTACTCGATAAAATTGTTTGTTTCTGATCTGTTCAGTGTAATTTACGCAACCGAACATGAATGCGTAAGGTACATGCCATAATGCACTCAGTAGTACATGCATTCATGCGCAAAGTAAATATAGACAGAACATAAGTCACATGAACACACCTACATGTACTGTGCCTTTTTGGATGATAACCTGTTTTCACTCAGCAAATGTTTTGTGCTAAGCAAAGTCATAAGCTCATTCTTCAAAAAAACTTGGGAAAGACATTCTGTGTTTTTCTCTGAGAAACTTGAGAGAGAGTGACCAACCATAACCTCCTTGGCTTTGCCACAAGGATCCTTTATGAATCCTGAAACTTCTCCACTTCACAGGACACCAACTGCACATTGTACTGGCACATTTAGGGCCGTGACATCCCATGCAAAGTACCAGTAGAAGTGGCAAATCCTCAAAAAACCTCCTGATTCAGATTTATAAAATCTGACTACTTATTTCCCTCACTTACAAAAATGTAAACATCTTTGCACAATGCCATCCCACAAGAAGATATACAAGAAATAAATCAGGCAAGAAGGGGAGGTCATTAAAAAACAAAGAAAGTCTGATCCAAGGAAAAGTTGCACGGCTGCAAGTACATAGATGCATAAACGTGCTGGAAGGAGAAATATGTGACGAGCCTTACCTCAATGTTCTTTAGGTTGATGTATTTGTCGTAGCATTCATGGAGGTCCAGGTACTTGCCGTAACCTTCTTCATCAGTGAACTCCACCAAGGTCTGATTCTCCTCCACTGGGTTGGCTCGCTCCTCGTCCATCCGATCGTAGTCGTAGGACATCGGGATGGCAATCTGAAAGATATGAAATGGAGCACGTTAAGTCATCCACAAAGATATGGTTAAATCAGAACAAGCACTAAGAACCTAGTGGTGGACTACTGCATGACAAACTCTGGCAAATGATTAAACTAACTTGGTTCATTTCATTACCAGAAAACAGCTTCATTATTTATCAATTGATACTGAAAACTTTTGAAATTATCAATTCTGTCATCTATGTGTACACAGCATGACGATTGCTTATCACATTAATTCAACAGAGACTTTTATAAATACTACAAAATAAAAGAAGTACCTCATTGGGGTGTTTCCTGTGAAAGTCCTTGATTGTTTTCAACCGAGCGTAGAATTCTTGGAACTCATTGGGCCCTGACAATGCTTGGACCTCTTCCTTTCGCAGACTGCGCAGGAAAAGGGTGACAAAGAGAAATGCACAAATGAATTTCTAGCAACAACATGTGTAGTTGTACACGTTGATTATAACTTTGTAGCACATGCATCACCCAGCTTGGCTGAATGGGCAATTCCACACCATATGGGCAAGTGGTCAAGCTCTCACCAACGTTGGATTCATTCACAATTGAAAAACACAGGGAATCTGGCAAAAAATCAAAGTGGAAATACAGCTGCAATAGGTACTGATGCATGTAGAACCATCACATTTTGGTTTGTTTATGAATGAAGAATGAGAGAGCTGTTACGCGGTGACCAACTTCCACCTTTTGCACAAGACTGCTTTGTACATCTAGGACACATGGATTCCAAGTTCAGTTGTGAATGAACCAGCAGTGGAGGCACAATTTGTTCCAAGCGGGGAGGGTAGTTGTGGGACCTTCAGGCATCAGCCATTAATAGGCTGATCCACTCTGCCCCATCCAATTATAGGACATGCCGAAAGTGTGGAGGGAGGAGGGGGACAAGTCCCCCCAGTCCAAAAAATAAGGGAGGGCCACTGGTCCCCTGCCCCCCCACCTTCCACTGCCAGTGGGATGAACAATTACTTGACTTTTAAAAGGGTTAAGATTGTCAATTCATGATCATTCTTTTTCTGTGGTTCACCAGCCAGCATATCTACATCACTTACATGTAGGCCTACATGTACATGTACTCAGTACATGTAAACCTCTGTGCAGAATACATGTACATGTTCTCATAGATCAGACATAGATAAAAAATGATATCTGGGAAAGTGACAGTCTTAAAACTAGTACATGTGCATGTATGTAATTAAAAACTTTCAGCTATAACATGTACATACATGTACATGAAAGTAAAAGTTTCTATCACAAATGTGTATGGTACACCGGTACATGTACAGTACTCAGTGGTACTCGTACATGTATGGATATTGATGTACATGTATATGTACATGTAAACATACATGTACAATGTACATGTGCCACAGGGACATTCTTCTCATGTCCTCCTTTCATGCACGGGAAACATGGCTCACTCTATTACGGCTTCATGGAAATCTGTGATGGTACAAAGAACCATTCAAAGGACAAGTCACAAGACCAGTCAGGAGACCAGTTTTACAAAGACTGGCCACAAGGCCGGTCTTGTGATGGTTTGGGGGTCCTATGATGATCTTTGGGGCAAGTATTTTAACAAAATTTTTGTTTCTCATTTTTAATTTTAAAATCATAATTGAAAAAGTTAAATCACATTTTTTATTTAAATATTTGTAAAATATCTTTGTTTTCAAAAAGGTTTTTGGTCCTGAAGTTGAATGCGTATAACACTTACATGTAAATTATGTAAAACACATCTCAGCATAGTAGCTACATGTCACTTAATCATCAGACATTCTGTGAAGCACTTTTTCAGTCAAATGACTATACATACCAAAGAATATGGCTGTACCAAACACTAGCTAATTCTGGGTGTCTTCAGATATTTCAGAAGAACCGGTACATTTAATTTGGCCAATTCTTCCTTTCAAATGAATCCAACAAATACCAGTACCGGTAAATGTAGGTACCGGTACCGGTATTTAACAATTTATTTAACATGTAAATTTTTATTGAGTTCAAAAATTTCCCTGCTCTGGGATTCTGTGGTGGTTTTGGGGGATCTTGTCATGGTCTTTGGGGGTCTTGTGTACTAGCCTTTGGGGTCTTGTGATCTAGTCTTTGGGGGTCTTATGACGGTCCTTGGGGTATTGCAACAGTTTGACTAAAACACCAGCAATGAGACTTACCCATCTTTGTCTTCATAGATGTCTCTCAGCATGGCTGTGTCATCCATGTGTTTCTGTCAGAATGTAAAATCAGAATTGCGGAACCAGAATTTATTCCGAGGACTTTAGTTCAATATACATGTAATACTGAACACTGTTTGAAATTTGCTGAAAATTAGAAAAAAAAAGGAGTAAAATGAAGGTGAAGTGGACAGCTCCAATACAGAAACAATATTCATGAATATGTATTACATTTCAGACTGTAGATTGATCTGGGTTGAAACTATCCAAGCTTCCAACACCATGAGACATCAAGAAAAGTGAACTACTACATGTACATCAATAAAAATTGATGATTTCCTTTAATCTGGAAGTTTATGATCAAAACTTACACCCATCTGTACACCACTTCAATTCTGGAAAATATCTCGAGGGCTGTCCGTCAGTTTTTCATGCATGCAATGTATGTTAGAGAGGAATTTTTAGAAGAAAATGCTGTGCAAAGATTTCCTCCATCTACAGGTAAGTTACATACATGTACATGTAACTGATTCAGAGGGTGACACAGCATACAGTGTAGATCGTGGACGTAGGAAATCGGATGGTACTGGACAATGTGAAACCATTAATTAATGAGTATCCAGAACAACAGTTGATGCTCCGCAAGGGGCAACCATCTGACCAAATTCAGCACTGATATGACTGACCACTTTTTGCATCTTATTTGGCCCTCTGCTGATGAAAAAATGAAATGCCACAAGGACGCGGGCTGCGGGAACTGAATTGGAACCCTGTTTTAAATGACTGATTCAAACAGCCAAAAACGGGTGCAATACTCTATTACATGTAAAGATGACTCACATCAAGGAGTTTCCTGGTCCGTTGATCTGAGTTAATCTGTTCACGGCTCTGCATAAAAAAAAGAAGGGAAAAACAGCACATACTACAAGTCAACAAAAATCCAGTAAGAATTCATGAAACAGGAATTCAGGTACCGGTATATGTATGTCTAACAGTATCATACAAATCATTCAGCATCTTGTCAGACAGTGACCGGGTTGATTGGATATTGCAGTGCATAAAAAAATTAAAGTGGTTGGAAAATATCATACATGTGCATGTACATGATGTACCTCTATGTGAGAGAACAGCAAAATTGCTTCCAAATTCTCGCAGGAAAACGAACGGTTTTCATGATAGTATGTAATGTGTGGGCTGCCATTTTTTTTTTCTCTGCCGTCCACATGAAAACAAGATGTCAGCCAGTCAGGCTGATCGAGCAGGCGAAACGTTATTGCTCAAATTTTCACATTCAAATATCATATTACCATACTCGTACTTTGTAAGGCCTAAATGTAACCATACACTGAATATGATATTGACATGATTTAGGAGCGTAAGTACATGTACATGTAATCATGCTAGATGTAATCGGTGCTAATACAAAAGTTTTGCAAATACATGTGTGTACTGTACCTACATGTACTTGAATAACTTGTTGACGCTAACTACATGTACATGTAGCATGACCCATTTCGACAGACACATTGACACAGTCTACAAGTACATGTATATGCCTAGAACTAGTAGTAGTATGAACATGCACGGCATTTGTAAATTTCGGGACCCTCTTCTGTGTACATGTAGCATGTACATGTACATTGTACATGTATAATGACACACTTTAAGAGTTTCTGCCCAACCATTGGTCAACAAATACTGGTCCTTGTGCATACATGTACATGTACACATGTATTTATAATGACATTTTTCACATTTTCTTTCTTTTCAGTGAATTTTGATCATTGCACGATGATGATCCTTCAGGCCCAACCTGACATACTGTAGTTTTCTCTGCATAAGCCAAGCTAACACTGTACCAATTCAGACGCACCAGGAAATTTGGGAACGTACATGTACATGAATAATGACGCACTTTGCATTTGGCTGAAATGTACATGTAATAAACAGACTGAGTGATAAGATACTACATGTACCAATGCCCAATGGACTCTTCCAAAACTTTGGCAGCAGTTTAGATGTCTTGACATGGAACAGCCGTTGAGACGATGAGGGGTCAAGTGACGTAATGCTCAACAACCTTATTTTAAAGATGGCGACTGTGAGAGTGAGCCCGTTAGATTTAATGGATAAAGGAAAAAAGACTGGAAAATACCTGAATAACGTGAGTGAAATCATTCAATAAATGGTATTTAGAAAACGGAAAGGTCAAGAATCATGTTCGTATGCAAAAGAAATTGCGCCCACGATTATAAGTGGGTGCACCAAAAATGTTCAGTACGCCGACACGAAATTGCGCATACGAATGTGTGGCTAAGGATGGATCGGGAGTGAGAGTCCGTGCCACACTAGTGGGGCTACTGCATGCCCTGTTCACATTGTCACCGTGATCACACCATGCATGTCTCACCGAACTTTTCTTGTGTAGCGTTTCCTTCACCATGGCTTCAACAATCCGCTCTCTCTCCTCATGTAACCGCCTCTGTTGCTCCAAAATTGTCTCCATGATTCACAGACGTACACTGCCTTATCACCTTTCTAAAATAAAATTACTACAACTTGAACACGAGTGACTTGAGTCTACACACTTTAAATTTCCATGACATACAGTTGTAACACCGACACTGACAAAACGTTCAACATACAACAGCCAGGCCGCGTTGTTAATCGACACGATGCGCTGAACGAACGCAAGAGGGCGCTGAGCTAAATTAATTCTGGCGCCACCAAGAGTTTAGCTTGCGCCTGGTCCACAACTTTTTTTAGCGAATTTTATCGCCCGTTGAATTTTAGTCATTTTGGTGTGATTCCACCACAGTGCCAGCAGTAGTTGGAGAATCATGTTGTCACGTGCTGTAGTGTTGAGAAGGTAAGGCTTCTCAAAATTTACTGTCTAAAGACTGCTTAAAAGGTACAAAACTTCAGAAGCAGATCCAATAAGTTTACCACTCGGCAGTGACCAGCAGGACCAGGTGACCATCACAGCAGATCATGACCACGCGTACACGTACATACATGCACCGTACCCAGATACATTTACCACTGTTCAGACCATGGTGCTAATATTAAAAAGGACCATAACTTGGTGGCCAGGGCAGCTAGGGCGGGGGGGAAGGGACTATCACTCAGTATCAGTCCAGTGCCATTTTCTTTTTTTCGTCCGATCATGTCAATTGTTTTGACAGTCGGATGATGTAGGGAATGGCCTACCAACCA